TGGGTTGAAGAGGTACAAGAAGGTTGAAGAGGACAGTTGCTACTAAGCTTTATGTTGCCTTTACGTAAGTGACTACTTGTAATTCAGTAAATGGCTTTGTGGAGGAGAGAACATTTATCTGTGCTGGTGATGTTGGGCCTGCAGGAAATAACAAGCAATGAAAGCTTTCATGCTGTGTGTAAGGCTAAGAATTATAGTGGGAAACTCAAAGGATGGGAAGGTGGAAGGAAGGTTTTCTGAATACCGTCATTCTCTTAGTCTTTACACCAGAATAGTATCATTGACTCTTCCTTAGTAAGAAATCTGTTCTGATCAGAAAAACATCCCTTTGATATGGAAGGGGTTTTCGAACTGGAGCTCTAGGATACTAAAGCCTTGGGATTTAGTTTACAAGCGAATTTAATTCCTTCTTTAATCCAGAGGAAAGAAATGTCTGGGTGCTTTTTTTCCTGCTCCTTTTGCAGGACTGTGCTGTGCTTGAGTGGTTTGTTCAGTGTTATTCTGCACTAAATCATCTCGTATTTCTCAAACTTTTGGTATTTTATATAAGCATATTAGGAGAAAAAAAACCCAATGCCTTTAATCCTAAAGAAAACTACTTTTCCTGGATTTCATCTACAGGTAATGGAGAAAAATAAGTATCTCCAAACAGCCTTTCTGAATATACACTGTTAAATAGGATTTTCTGTATTCTGTATTTCTCCATTTACTTCAGAAGCAGCAAAGGAAAGCATCCATGTTTGAATAAATTTAGCACTTATTAGTTCTATGAGAGACAATGAGAAAGGACTGTTGTATCTAGTTACTTACTGGTCTTTTCAGGGTCAGTGATTATTATGTAATATTATGTATTCTGTAAAATAATAAAAAAAAAGACAGTGTATTGTATACAGGGAGGAACTCTAGGTTCAGAAGAAAAGTAACACTTTTATTTTGGAGATGAGTAGATTCACACTAGCTGATCAGGTGAAAAGACTGATTTTATAACACAGAATCAGGTCGGTCTATTGAGACTTGACATAATTAAAGAGCCTGTCTGGACATTTGCACCTACTGACAGAGATGGTTCAGTTTCTCTCCCATCCTAATGTGTTCCTTTTAAAATAAGCTGATGGAGACAGCAGATCATTTATGCATTCAGATTCAAATATGTATTTTCAGAAGCAGGTGAAGGGATTTGTGAGAACATGTACAGAAATTACATGCTGGGTATAGCCAATACCTATAGACAACACTGATATAGTCTGCATTAAAAAAAAAAAAAATAAGACACCTACTGAATGTCATATGCTCAGACAATAGGTTAAAGAAGCTGCACAAAAGCATAGTACAAGTACAGTGAGGTGCCTGGGAAGGTGAGTGTTTGGTAATAAAACAAACAAAGTCCTTTGCGATCAATTAATATTAATTGCAAGAATTAATGAATAATGCATTATTCAAGGATACATTACAATTATTAGATTTAACCCAGTTTCACATTGGAGAAGTGAGCTTTTAAAGACTTCCAGTTTGAAATATTTAGAAAAGGATCAGCAGTGTCTAATGGAAAGCTCTTGGGGGCCAGGGAGAGATAGAGAGAGGATGAAATAACTTCATAGTTTCTCTTGCCCATCCCTACCATCTTTACTTTAAAAGAGAAACTGCAACCAGACCAAAGGGGGGAAAGGATCTGGAGAATGCCTCTGACAGTACTGAGCGTGGCCAGAGTCTTCCAACAGCATGCCATTGACATCACAGTATTTCAGGAGCTGGATTGGTCTGAACAGACAGGCCAACGACTGAAGTTTGGGAGACCATTCAAAACTTCTTTATGGGTTCATTTTCCAAAGTCATGTGGTAATATGATCAGTTGCAGCCACCTTTGAACAAAAACAGGGCACAGGACGATGGTGTTCATTAATATTTCTAGTAGTATTTTAGTCATGAGTTATCTTTGGCAATAAGTCCACAGGATAAGAAATAAGCCAAGTCAGGGAGCTCTGGATTATTGATGCTTACATTCTCTCTATTTATTGAATGCATTTATTTCTGATGAAAACAGAAGAGCCTATTCAGAAATATGCAGTTTGAGGAACTTTGATATATAAATGTAAAAAGAATATGGAAATGATGAAATAAAACTCTTGTGCATAAAGTGGACATTATCCTTCTGCAAGCTGCCTAACAGAGAAAAACAGTACAAGAAACACTAATACTGATTATTTGCTAAATGTGTTTTCTGTGCTGTGATTGCTGCCAGGAACTGGCAATAAACGTCAAGGTCTGGACTTGATTCAGAATGCTCATGTCTTTCTTTCTATGTTTCTCTGTTATGCCCCTGAAGCTATTTTCCTTCACTGCTTCAGTAGAGGTGATCAGAAATTGTTATTGCTGATAGCTGATGTGGAGGAGAGAAGAGCTGGAGGTGAAGCTGTTCAGATGCTCCAAAAAATGGAGTGCCTGCAGCAAAAAAATGAATTCTTGTGATGCATGAGTGGCCAAGATTTCTTTTTCCTTGATCCATCTTGTGTGTGTTGCTACCGTAATATAATCATAATAGCAGATCATAATAGCAGCTAATGAATCAGTCAAAATTAATCACCACAGAAACTTTTGAGAGAAATTAGGTCCCTTTCTGTTTCCAGATCCATAAATCCAGAGCACAGTTTCTAATTGTGTGCCAGTTTCTCAGTTCAAATAATTCGGCATTACTCTATGACCTGTAACCAGGACTACAACAGATAAGAATCTGACCTGTATCATTCCCCAGATCATAATCTTAAGTAATATCCTTTATATATGATGTTAGCTCAATCCTTGATTTTCATTAAAAAAGGTTATTAAAATGTAGTGAACTTTGAATTATCATTTCTAATAAATCACAATTTTACTGATTATACTGTCATTATTAAAATAATTGTGACCCTTTGTTGAAGTCACATTATACTGAACACTCAAAAATGTAAGCCTTGCATAACATGAATAATGATAGCATGACTAATAATGATACTTTGACTATTAATCAACTAAGTGAATTCAAAACATAGGAAGATTGATAGGAAAGTACCTGAATTAATTCTGTTATTCGCTGTAGAATTAAAAACGGTCATGAAAAATAACTGCCATTAAAAACATGGTAATATAAACTGATGAAGACTGTAAAATTTTTTGGTCAAGAATGTCATAAAAAAAAATTAATTTGAAAAAGCACAGCATTTTGCAAAGTATGAAAGGGCTTGATTTGTTTTCAGAAATCTTTTCAAATGTTTCTCATCTCCCTTATTTGAGTGTGCTTTTCAGGTTTTTTCTTAGAGCAATCAAGAACGTGCAAACAATTGATTCTTATTTAATGCTACACTTAGAGTGTTTTCTACAACTGTGGAGTCAAGATGTAAACAAACAATGGGAGTTTACAGAGAGAGGTGTTCCTAAAAACGCAGAAAGCTTCTGCTGGCTGTCCCCTGAACTTGGGATTCCTCTGCACACAGAGAACACTTTGAGGTTAAGAGAAACCTCTTAGTGACTCTGCAATGGCATTAACAAAAACATGCAGATTTTCAGTCCTCTGAGGAACTGAGCCTTTTCCTTTTGTTTTTGTGTATCGAGTGACATTTGACAAGCAGGAGCATTTACGGCAGGCACCACCTCTCCTCCAAGCGCTTCTCAAATGCCCCAGATGAAGACCTTGGAGACCATTAATTACAAAATTCATTTGTAGCTCCAGGCACAGAGCGACTTAAACAGAAATAGCTGAGACATAGGCAGTTGGAGAAGGGAGCTGGAGAGGTTTCTGTTCATACCACCGCCCTGAGGCCAGATCTGCATTGCCTAGCTCCTCCTGAAGGCCTCTGGTGAGATGATTTACACCATTCTCACCTCTGTCCCATCCTTCCTAAAAGAAACAATCATGACCTTTTCTCTTAATCCTACACATCCTCTCAAACAAGCGCTATCTCGGAGGGATACATCTTTCAGACAGGGACCTGTTGGCAGGGAAAGGTTTTCTGGGCAAAAGGCTATTGCAGCCACTGTGAGGTTTATCCCAGTGGCCATGTGAATGGGGACCATCGCCCCTGCCATGCCGTGAGGATGGCAACAGCCATCACTCACCATCTCAGTGAGTTAGTCTTTTCCCTTGAGTCAGGGCAGCAGGAATTAGTCATGCCCGAGGAGCAAGGGTCATGAGGCAGGCAGTGGGAGGCCGGGGTTTGTGTGGAAGGTGGGAGCAGGGCAGCAAAGCTTTTGTGGCACAACGGGGCAGCACCAGGGCAAGGCAGGAAAAAGAAAGAAGAAGGAGGAAGTAACAAGTTTGGCAGCTCACTCTTTCTGGGTGTGCACTAGCAGGGGCATTTGGGAATTACCCTCTGGGATTGCAAATGCTGCCCCTTTTCAGTCATGCTACAATCTCCTCAAGGTTTCATCTGCACGGCTTCAATGACCTGATCTCAGTGGGCACCAACAGAATCCCTCCTGGAACAGCACGAAAATTTGGTACAATTTCCACAGGAGGACAGAAGGCTTAAGGGAAAGAGAGAAATGAGAACTAAAAGGCAGAGCCTCTAATCAGGACCCACCAAAACGTAACGTGTGAATGCAACAGTAGTTTGAAAAGCTCGTCAGAGGAAATAATATCAAGGATCACCTCTCTACTGCGTGCCAGGAGACGCTTTCAAGTACCACCAACCTAGCCAAACACATCACTCAGAATGTCCAATGCCTTTGTTTTTTTCAGATGAGAGTCCCGATCGCCACGTCCGCAAACAAGAACTGCAGCAACTGGAGAATGCAAACGACATCAACAAAGATCACTTTGAAAATGCAGCCACCCTCCCCCGCATTGCAGCACTAATGCAAACACTAGCATTAGTGAAAATTTAGATTTCACAGATTTGCTGACAGAATAAATGACAGCACTATCTCCTGACGTTCAGCCTTCCTTTCCCAGCCATACGTGCTGCCTATATATTCTGTCAAACAACAGAAAGCCACATTGAAAGGTAAACAGAATGAGAGGCAAGTAGTACATATGGTCTGCTGCACGATTTATTGTCCCACCACAAATTAGTAACTGTTGGGAAGCTGGCACTAAAAGAGTAGCCTCTCCCTCTTCATGGGGGGTGAAAGGGCTGCCCCCCGAAGCTGTGGGTGGGGGGCTCTGTCTCCCCACCTTCAACCCCTACCCTGGCGGGGCCGCCTCCAGCCCTTGGCAGAGGGCCGGACCAGCGGGCTCGGGAGTTAGGGGTGCCTTTTCAGATGGGGCCTGGGCTGGGGGAACCAGGGGCAGTGGGGGCCATGGAGGGTGGACGTGCCGGTGTTTCAGGCGGGGGCTGCGGCTGCTGGTGTTGGTCCCAGCTGTCAGGGATGCCGGGGTGGCTGGTGGGGCTGACCGGGCGCAAGGGGTACCCGCCGGTTTCCAGCCGGTGTCCCCAAGGTGCAGGGGCATGTCTGTGGAGAGAGGAGGACGCTGAGGCACTCGGCTGCAGGATGGACACAGGGACTCCTCTCCAGAGCACGGCCCACGAGCAGCCATGCAAGGGAGCAGTGGGGGGAAAATCACTGACTCTTTGCTCTTACTCCGCTGCTTGCATCGCCTCCCTTGCTGAGGCAGAGGCGGGCAGTGAGCCACTGCTTCCTCCTGGAAACGCCGACTCCTGCACAGCCACTGCGTCGGTCTCTTGAAAAAGAAAATGGGACAGCTGGGTCAGGTGGAACCGTTCCCCATCAGGGCGGTGGCACCTCCAGGAGGCAACGCTTCTCAAAGACATCGGTAAGGTTTAGATAAATAAATCTGCCTGCCGACATCTGCACAAGCCAGCTGTGAGCCGTGATGGTAAAACGGGGGCACCAGCTGCCCTTGGCACTTGGCTTGAGCCACAACTGGCAGCAGAGGCTCTGCCCCATCTCTGTGGCTCGCCAGCGCCTGCAAGGCGTGAGACCCAGCATCGCTGCTGCGAGGCTCTGCTCGACCCCTGCCTGCTGGGCAGGCGACGGCGTGTCTGGACACGGATCTAAGAGCTCCAGTTGACGAATCTCACGGCTAAGGCAGAGCGAAGTATACCCACCCTGTGTTCTCTCCAGCTCCTCTAGTATTTGCTAAATGACTTCTGATGGCTCCCGGAGTTTTTTCCTCCTTCAGCTCTTGGAGGAGCTTAACAGAACGTATTTGGTACGATTCCACATGAATAAATTGCAGAAAACCAGTGCACAGCCTGTGAGGTGAGCAGAGGACAGAATACTCACCCCTGGGATGCCAGCCAGACTCTTGCGCCGGATCCAGCCGAGGAGCTGGAAAAGTCCTCCCGTCGGGAACACCTGTAATTATTAATCACCCAGAGAAGCTCCCGTCATCTACACTGGCAGACGCGAATCGCAGGAGCGGTGAGGGGGTCACGCAAGGAGAGGGCACCCACGGGCAGGTCTCCGTCCTCCCACCTGCAGAGGCGCCCGGCCGGCTGACCTTTGGGCTGTGAGTGGGCAGCTCTGAAGGGGAGGGAAAAGCCAGGACGTACCCGTGCCATCTCCCGCAGTCGCCGACCCGGAACCCAGCTGCAAAGCTGCATCACCTTCTGCAAAGAAGCACAGGACAGAACGGCTCCGGTGACACAGTCCAGGATACTTCCTCAGATCGGAGTGGCAGCTCAGGAGCGCCGGGCAAAGACGGGATTACTCCACGGCACTCCTCTCTCCCCTCCGCTCAGGAGCTTGGTGCAAAGAGTTACCGTGTGCCTGCAGTGGCACCACGCTGGGACAAAATGAACCACGCGTGGAGCCGCTGGGAGAAAGGACTCCCTGGAGCTCGCACCAGCTCTGAAGTCAGCGCCAAGAAGCCCACTGGCTTGGCAGCTGGCACCGGGAGGGAGCAGCTCAGGCTCCCAGGGGCCGGCAAAGAGCTTCGCAAGGGAAAGCGCCCTGGGGCACGGCACTCAGCCCGACCCTTTCCCTCTCTGCTCTTCTGCACGTCTGCGCGTCGGCCGCAGAACGAGCAACTTGCATTTCACACGGAAAGAAAAAGTTAAAAGGTAGCTGCTCCTTCCAGGCCATGTGCAGCACCTCTAGGAGCAGATGGACCAACATACGGCCCCTCGGGGCTTTCTGACCGGGAGAGCTCACACACAGAGAGAGGAAGCCGGTGCTAAAGCACCGGAGGGAGAAAGTCATCCTCCACGCTTCCTGGGGAGAAGAGCCCTCTGGCCCGTGAAAGGCTGCACGAGCCGTCCCCCACTTACCTGTTCCCCACGCTTTCCACAGAGCCGTCCCGGCAGCCCTGGCATGCAGGGCCACCAGGAGCAGGAGGATGAGGAGGAGGCGGTGGGTGGGGACCATGGCCCTGTGCTTGCACCGTGCTGCTGCTGCTGCCGCTGCTGCCGCTGCTGCCGCTGCCGCTGCTGGTGCTGCAGTGGGGTCCGGGGGCTGAGCAATCCGTATTTGTGGCCGTCGTGACATGACAGGGCTCTGTGACCTCACAGCCCCACTGTGACCTCACAGCCGGGCCGAGGCTGCGTGGGAACGTCTCTCAGGGCGCTCGTGGAGAGCCGCTGGAGCGCAGGCGGGGGAGCTGCCCTCCCGGAGAGGGGAACACGTCCCCTCGGGCAGCTCCGTCCAAGGGCTGGGACACAGTCCCACCCGGGGCTGAGCCCACAGCTCTGCCCTGCTTTCCGGGCACTGTCACAGGGGCAGCGAGGAGCTCCCAGTCCCCCCGAAGAGGAGGAAACCGCAGGCAAGGGATTTCTGACCTCCTCGGGTGCTGTTACCAACAGCTCAGGATGATGCTGATGGAGCGAGGGATTTCAGTCTCGAGGCAAGTGCAAGATGCCCTCCCGGAGTCAGCTTCCAGGCTGGAGCCCCCTTTGGCACTAACCAGGCACTAACCAGGGCTAATGGGTCACTTTGGGTTTAGGGCAAAGATGAAGTTTTCACTTTTCCATTTCCTCTTCATGTGTAATTGAAGGGAATACTTTCTGTCAGGGTCCTCACAGAGCAAAGTCAATCGATAAAACAGGCAAAAATTCTCTTAAATTATTTGACATGCAAAAGGAAACCACGTGTGGCAGGTGCACCCACCTGCTGGAAATGGGGCTTCCTGGCTGCTGAAATATAGTGGCCATTGATTTTTTTTTTTTTTTTTTTGGTGCCCTTGTTCTCAGGGCTTTATGGGAATTGGGGCCCTCAGCCAATAAGGGCTGATTATTGACCACAGATCAGATTTGTCGAGGGTAGAAACGGAGCCCCCGGGGGGAGCCATTTTGAGCTAGTCCCCCCTGGAGCAGCACAGCTGAGGTCGAGGACCGTCCCCTTGGGTCGGGACGCTGCCCAAGGAAACTCCTTGAGGTTCCCCCCTTGGGTCGGGATGCCGCCCGAAGAAATTCCCCACGGTTGAGAGCCCTCGCTTTTTAGGTGAGTGACCAAGCGCTTTGGATTGTCGTTAAATCCCAGGAGTTTGTGCAGCAATAGCTTTTCCTCTCCCTGACACTCAGATCTGCCCTTTGTGAATGATTGCCAGAGTGCCAACTGACTGTATTTAAATAAATTTTATTTTAATTGTTGTCTATCTCGAGAGCCCCCTCAACACCGCATGAGGAACACACGGTGGATATATGCTGCCTGACCAACTAAGACAAGTTCTGTTACTATAGGAGGTGCATTCTTGGCTTTCCCTGGAATCACAGTAGCTCATACTCCAGGATAGGCCTGATGAATTAGGAAATCTTTATCTGCAAGCTTATCTTATAGCATTGGGGAAACAATTGGAACAAATTAACAAAAGCGTACTGGGAGTTAGAGTAAAAGGACTGGACCATCCTACCTATCCTTTCAACCCGGGGGACTGGGTTTATGTTAAGAATTTTTCATGTGATCCGCTATAGGAGAAGTGGAATGGACCGTACCAGGTACTGCTGGCTACCTTCACTGCAATCAAGGTCAAAGAACAACCTGCTTGGATTCATTACTCCCGGATAAAGAAGGCTCCTAGTCAGCAACGGACATTTGAATCTTCAGGACCACTGAAGCTGAAAATATGACGTCAGAAGCTATGCAGGACATTGTTAAAATAAAGTTGTTGGTTACATGTTGTGTGAATAGATCTGAGACACTTGACGATAATCTGATTTTAAAATTAATGCAGGGCTTTGGGCAGATTCAGAATGTGTCATCAGTAACTGCCGGTTTACTGTTCCCTAAATCAGCACAAAATCCAGTCCCTCGGGAAATTCTTACTACTAACCTTACTGCTACATAGCAGCGTATGTGGCAAGGGAAAGTGAGCAGTCTCAAGTGAAACAATCAGGAAGGCAAATTTCAAAAGAGTAAACGGTACTACTGCGGACTGTAACATAACTAAATCCCCTACACCATGGACAAAGGAAATCACTTGCCGTCCTGTGAAAGATGAACATACAAATACACCATGGGGTTGTCAGCTTCCATCAATCTGGAAAGGGCCTCAGAAGTGAAAATGGGATCATATTGAGGACATAAAATGGTGCCTGAGATCTGAAGGACTGCTTGGATGGCCTGAAGACCCTCTACAAGTGCCAGTCAGATACGGGAATATAAACTTAAACAATATTCCAGGAGGTAAGGTAAACAGGAACTGGGACTGTAGAAAGATCTTTACTTGCAACTCTACAGATCCAGAAATACAGAGGCTCTAACGTGCGGCAAAGTTATTACGGCTGGGTTGTGCATGTAAAAACAGGACACCACCACTCAATGATACTTGGTCGTACCTGACTAACAGTAACCCCCGGCCTAACATAGCTTGTACTGTGGCTAGAGTAGAAAGCTTAGGTCCGATGGTATGGGTTAGTAGTGATGGAGAATGAACCACCCATGCTCCCCCTGGGGACAAATTAAAGAACGGACTCTAGGATTATTGACCCTATGTCCCCTGTGGAAACAAGCCCCCTTAAGGCCTAAATGGTGGTTACGAACAAAAAGGGAAGATACCTGGTGAAGACCTAGTCTGGGAGTTAGGGTAGGGTGGGTACTGGGATCCTTTTTTTTACCGGGCGTTTCAACACTGGAAAACAAGGTGGCTCTATATAGTCTAACCTTTCAGGCAGAGATCTTAGCTAATGCAACAGAGCAAGGCCTACAAGACCTAAATGCTCAATTACAAGCCACAAGTAAAATGACTGCAGAAGAGATTAGCTTTAGATTTTATACTTGTCAAAGAACATGGACTATGTGGTTATCTTGATCTAAGTAATGATACTTGTATTCACATTCCAGATGTGACACAGGATCTAGGGAATCAGATAGAGAAAATACAACAAGTTGCTCAACACAGTAGGGGAATTAGAGAAGGATTGGAGGGAAACTAAATAGTATTCTAAAAAAAGTTGGGATTCTCCTTGTCTGAATGGACAGCATCGTTGTTGCAAAACTTAATAGTAGTTCTCATAGTAATAGTAGCAGGAGGCGTTATGAGTGTTTGCACTAAAAACCTCACGGTAAGAATAGTACAACAAAGGTGGGCCAGTATAGTAGTGCAGCGGTACCAGGGATAGGAAATGTTGCAAAAGACTTTGCGACAAGAAAAGAAAAGGGAGGGAATGAGGAGGGAAGACTGAAGTACTGAGGCCTGAACAACAGGCCAGAACCAAAATTGACCTCTAGACGAATCTCAACACCCCACAATATAGTACCAGTCACAGGTAGTATTAGCCACATCTATAACGTATTATTAGTCTATCTTAATATATTTATCTAGAGAAGCTCTGTTGTAACTTCATTATGTAACAATAGCCGATCAACCGATCCTTCTTTATTTAGAGGCACGAGGTGAGGCCAGACATCAGATGCTATTGAGAAATATGTGGTTAAAGCCCAAATAGATACACAAGCCCCACCTTGGGTTCCTCCTTAAGCCCTGGCTGGGCTTTGGCTGAAATCCAACAGGGAGGTGACACCAGCTGTTTCCTCACTCGAAGTTTGAAACCTGTTTATTCAACACTATAAAAGCTGAACCCTCTTGCAGCGACTTTGGAGACCTCACCTACGAGTGGACACACTGCATAGGACCTCCCAGTTGCCGGGAAAGGCTCTCCAGACCCTCGCCGCAACCAGGGCTCCCCAGTGACTGCGGATCTGGATGATGGTTAAGTATTAGGGCAATTGGTGATGTATCTTTCTTAATTACTATCGCTGACTTTATGCAGTAATGATTAGGTGCATTACCTTGTCTTACTTTATTTTCTCGTCATATTATTTTAGGACTAAGGAGTATTAACTTGTTTATTCTCTTTGCTGCTTATAACTAGAGCGTAATAAGCTTACCATTCTGACTAAATGTATTACCTTATATTTTGCATTATTTTGCAGTAGATAGTAAAATAAGTCTATTGTTTCTGTTGGTATCTGAGTCCTTTCTGTCAATCCCGTCAACTGGCAAAACAGAAGCCATATGGAAAATTACAAATTGCCAGTAGCAGCAAGGTCTCTCTACAGGACTGCTGAATCTAATATTTTGTTTGTAGTTCTGCTCAGGAATCGGCCTAACGAAGGAAGAAGGTAGACCCTATCTATGACTAACAGGCTTGAGCCTGTCTGCTTACATCATTCAGGTACGCTCCTATCTAGGAAAAACAAGGTAATGGAAGAAGGACACTGAAGCCGGCCGAACTACCAGATGCAACTGGTTTTGTGGTCTCAGCTGTAAGGGAAAGGCCTCCTCAGAGCCTTCTCTTCTCCAGGCTGAACCACCCCAACCCTCTCGGATTGTCCTCCCAGCAGAGGTGGTCCATCCTCTGATCGTTTTTGTGGCCTCCTCTGGACCTCCTCCAGCCAGGTCCACGTCTTTCCCGTGCTCAGGACCCCAGAGCCGCCCACAGTACTGCTGCTGGGGTCTCACCACAGCGCAGCAGAGGGGCAAAATCCCCTCCCTCGAGCTGCTTTGGGTGCAGCCCGGGATACGGTTGGCTTTGCAGGTGGCGAGCACCCATTGCTGGCTCATCAGCAGTTCCCGCAGGTCCTCGGCAGGACTGCTCTCAATCCTTTTATCCCCCAGCCTGTAGCGATAGCGGGGCCTGCCCCCACCCAGGCGCAGGACCTCCCGCTTGGCCTTGTTGAGCCTCCGGAGGTTCCCATGGGCCCACTTCTCGAGCTTGTCCCGGTCCCTCTGGATGGCACCGCGTCCCTCAGGCGTGTCAATGGCACCAATCCGCTTGGTGTCATCTGCGAACTTGCTGAGGGTGCACTCGATCCCCCTGTCCATGTCACTGATGAAGATACTAAAGAGTACTGGTCCCAGTACAGACCCCTGAGGGACACCACTCGTCACCAGTCTCCATCCGGACCTTGAACCGTTGACCACTACCCTCTGACTGAGACCATCCAGCCAATTCCTCATCCACCGAACAGTCCTTCTGTCACGTGAAACGGTTAAGGCAGAAAATCTGAGTGATAACCAATTCACCACTATCAATCCGATCGGGTTCGATATATTAAACTGTTCCGATCTGGATACACTAATAGTGGACTGCACCTTCAGTCGGTTTGTGCTCACGAACCAGCACGGCCACTCTTTGGTCGTGTTCAGTGAGAAACCAAAACGACCGGCTACTTAAATGGTGCAGTTGTTTTAAGCGACAGATATAGAGGTTCTTATGATTGCCGGTGATAAATACACTCTCTGCAAAGCACGTGCAAATAAGAGTATATGCAAAGCGCGCAACAAAGTTAGAACAATACAGCCAGGCTATAAAAATGGAAAAGAGACTTTCTAGAAAGGTTTCTAAGTTCTTAAGTCTTACCCAAAGGTGTCCCTATGGGGGGGAAAGAGAGGCTCAGCCCGTCGACTGGTCCCAGAAGTTCACACGGTGGTGTCTTCTCCACCCCTTCCCCTTTCCCGGGCTATTTTTATACTATTTTTTACCTTCAAGGTGGAGTTTGAGTGACTCTAGGCATAAATACATTTATTAGGATTGGAGTAAAATTCTCTTGCCTGACATTTAAAGGTACAGATTACAAAAAATCACAGCGCAGACTCAAAGAGGGGTGGTCGCACCTTGGAGGCGGGTAGCCTTTGGGACGGAGGTGTGGTTTGGTCTTATAATGACCCTGTAATGAGCAAAGTTCGCACAAAGGACAGCACTGCATCAAAATCCGACAGGACGTTGGCTCAGGGTGGCCAGGGTGCAGCTTCTCAGTTCTGTGGTACCACCTTGTTCCTGTACTTGCTGTACCATCCCGGGGAGACACCGTGAGCTCTCCAGCCCGCTTGGCTCCCCGTGGTGCTTTGCAAGCAATGCTGTCCCGGGAATCGCAGATGACGTGGTGGATTCTGTGCATACCAGCTGCAGCTGCATTTTACACTCGACGCTTTTGGATTTTATACCTTTCCTTAATGTGTGAACAAGGCTGTATTGTGGTCATTTTAGGAATTATTCCACAGTAATGCAGGGTGAGCAGTGAGCATATACCGGCTTGCTAGCACCGCAACGACATAGTTGGAATTTTCCATGTCTGCAATTGCCTGTGAGGGTCTTGCAAGTTTGGTAAATAATCTTTTTCTGTATTGTGAATTTTGTGTGCCTGCAATTGCCCGGGGACAGGCTTCTCTGTTGTGAATTGTGGTGCTTGCGAGTGCCCGGGGACAGGCTTTTGTAAGTTTGGTAAATAATCTCTTCTTCTGTATTGCGAATACATGTGAGTGACCGAGACGCGCATTTTATAGGAAGCGAGTGTAGAACCCCAGTCAGCCGTTCTGTTATCCCATGAGGGAAACAGCCAGAGATGGGCAAAGCGAATGATTATGTGAATAACTGTTGGTTACATCCCGATAATAATATTTGTGTACCTGTGCTGGTATTGAGTTGCGTAAGACGTAGTCAGAAAACCCGGGTATATTTTGGTAGCGATATTGAATGTGTTCCATGGAAGTTGTGGGCGGATTGGGATTGGTGGTATAGCGCTCTTGAGAGTGTAAAGGCAGATTGTGGTTGGGAAGGAAGCCTGAAGCACGGTTAGCATGGGGAGTCGGCAAAGTGAAGGAGAGCTTAAGAAAAGTCCACTCGTGTGTGTACCAGCCCCTTGGAAAGATTGAGGTGGACCACCTGGAGGGTTGGCAAAAAGAAGACTCTCATAAAATACTGTGAATCAGTGGTGGCCACTATATCAACTGGAAGATGGGGAAAGGTGGCCTTTTAAGGGGACGTCGGATTATAATACTCTTGATGCAACTGATGTTATTTTTAAGATGAGGAAAGAAATGGGATGAAGTAGGATATGCAGAGATGTTCTTTTCTCTAAGAAATCACCCGGAGCAGCAGAGAGATTGTGGAATAAATATGCCACCCCAAGACTCCTTGGTGCTTGCCTTGGAAAAGGACAGGAAGAAGGAACAAGGTCCTATTCCTCGGTGGTGTTCAATCTGCAGTATAGCTCAGCCGTGTCAAAAACATCAGAGGAGAGAGGAAGAGCAAGAGGTTGAAAAGGAGTTAGAGGACTGCGTATGTCCCGGAGGGAGAAGGAGAGAAGCAGGAGGGGAAGGAGGCAACAGACACGAAAGAGAAGAAATAAAGGAGTTGGGGACAAGCAAAAATTTCTCTCCTATTACCCACAAAACTCGCAGTAAAATGGGACCGATAATTCAGGCCCTTTTAAGACAAGCTGTAGGGCCTGAAGAGCCCATTAAAGTTCCTTTCTCCATGGGGGATTTAGGTACCTGGAAAGCGATACTTAAAGGATAGACAGATGATCCCTCGGGGGTAGCTAAAAGATTGTAAAAAAATAATTAAAAAAAAAAAAAAAAATCAAGATCCCGATTGGAAAGATATCGATTTAATGCTGGATGCATTGACAGAGACAGAGAAACAGCTTGTCTTAAAGACGGCAAGAACCCAGGTAGAGGCACAAATGACGGCTGGGGTCTTGCCGGGAGGGTGGACGCCTGTATTCCCCTCACTGAGCCTACATGGAACCCTGCTGATGATGCAGAATATAGGCTGTTGAAGCAATATCAAGGATGGATCAAATCTGGATCGGAAGGTGCAATACCAAAAGCTGTAAATTGGTCAGCCCTGTGTGCTATTAAGCAGGGCCTAACTGAAACCGAGTTTTGAGATAAACTGAGATCTGCGATGCGTAAATATACTACGTTAGATCCTTCACCTGATATTGGACAACAACAGCTTGAATCGTTATTTTGGGGGCAATCATCTGAAGACAGAAGGAAATTGCAAAAGTTGAAGGAACCAGAGATAAGAGATTTGGAGAAGTCAGTTGAAGCAGCATGGAGGGTATACAGGAAAAGGGAAAATAGTGACCGAAGGAAACGTGGACGAACAATCGCCACTGCCACTGTCACTGCTTTGAATCAACAGAAATTCTCTGTGATTTTACCTGTCCGTTGGAGCACTCGCGGTGGAGCGATCCCCAGTGCTGCTAATAAAGAATACCTGCTTAACAGTTAAAACGGATGCTAACTGCTGAGTCAACGTCTGTGTTTCACCACGAGTGTTCCACAAAACTGGAGAAACCGCAGGCAATCTCAAATGAGGCCGAAGCTTCTGGACAGCTTAATCGGCAAGCAAAAACCCTCCTGGAACAGCACGAAAATTTGGTACAATTTCCACAGGAGGACAGAAGGCTTAAGGGAAAGAGAGAAATGAGAACTAAAAGGCAGAGCCTCTAATCAGGACCCACCAAAACGTAACGTGTGAATGCAACAGTAGTTTGAAAAGCTCGTCAGAGGAAATAATATCAAGGATCACCTCTCTACTGCGTGCCAGGAGACGCTTTCAAGTACCACCAACCTAGCCAAACACATCACTCAGAATGTCCAATGCCTTTGTTTTTTTCAGATGAGAGTCCCGATCGCCACGTCCGCAAACAAGAACTGCAGCAACTGGAGAATGCAAACGACATCAACAAAGATCACTTTGAAAATGCAGCCACCCTCCCCCGCATTGCAGCACTAATGCAAACACTAGCATTAGTGAAAATTTAGATTTCACAGATTTGCTGACAGAATAAATGACAGCACTATCTCCTGACGTTCAGCCTTCCTTTCCCAGCCATACGTGCTGCCTATATATTCTGTCAAACAACAGAAAGCCACATTGAAAGGTAAACAGAATGAGAGGCAAGTAGTACATATGGTCTGCTGCACGATTTATTGTCCCACCACAAATTAGTAACTGTTGGGAAGCTGGCACTAAAAGAGTAGCCTCTCCCTCTTCATGGGGGGTGAAAGGGCTGCCCCCCGAAGCTGTGGGTGGGGGGCTCTGTCTCCCCACCTTCAACCCCTACCCTGGCGGGGCCGCCTCCAGCCCTTGGCAGAGGGCCGGACCAGCGGGCTCGGGAGTTAGGGGTGCCTTTTCAGATGGGGCCTGGGCTGGGGGAACCAGGGGCAGTGGGGGCCATGGAGGGTGGACGTGCCGGTGTTTCAGGCGGGGGCTGCGGCTGCTGGTGTTGGTCCCAGCTGTCAGGGATGCCGGGGTGGCTGGTGGGGCTGACCGGGCGCAAGGGGTACCCGCCGGTTTCCAGCCGGTGTCCCCAAGGTGCAGGGGCATGTCTGTGGAGAGAGGAGGACGCTGAGGCACTCGGCTGCAGGATGGACACAGGGACTCCTCTCCAGAGCACGGCCCACGAGCAGCCATGCAAGGGAGCAGTGGGGGGAAAATCACTGACTCTTTGCTCTTACTCCGCTGCTTGCATCGCCTCCCTTGCTGAGGCAGAGGCGGGCAGTGAGCCACTGCTTCCTCCTGGAAACGCCGACTCCTGCACAGCCACTGCGTCGGTCTCTTGAAAAAGAAAATGGGACAGCTGGGTCAGGTGGAACCGTTCCCCATCAGGGCGGTGGCACCTCCAGGAGGCAACGCTTCTCAAAGACATCGGTAAGGTTTAGATAAATAAATCTGCCTGCCGACATCTGCACAAGCCAGCTGTGAGCCGTGATGGTAAAACGGGGGCACCAGCTGCCCTTGGCACTTGGCTTGAGCCACAACTGGCAGCAGAGGCTCTGCCCCATCTCTGTGGCTCGCCAGCGCCTGCAAGGCGTGAGACCCAGCATCGCTGCTGCGAGGCTCTGCTCGACCCCTGCCTGCTGGGCAGGCGACGGCGTGTCTGGACACGGATCTAAGAGCTCCAGTTGACGAATCTCACGGCTAAGGCAGAGCGAAGTATACCCACCCTGTGTTCTCTCCAGCTCCTCTAGTATTTGCTAAATGACTTCTGATGGCTCCCGGAGTTTTTTCCTCCTTCAGCTCTTGGAGGAGCCTTAACAGAACGTATTTGGTACGATTCCACATGAATAAATTGCAGAAAACCAGTGCACAGCCTGTGAGGTGAGCAGAGGACAGAATACTCACCCCTGGGATGCCAGCCAGACTCTTGCGCCGGATCCAGCCGAGGAGCTGGAAAAGTCCTCCCGTCGGGAACACCTGTAATTATTAATCACCCAGAGAAGCTCCCGTCATCTACACTGGCAGACGCGAATCGCAGGAGCGGTGAGGGGGTCACGCAAGGAGAGGGCACCCACGGGCAGGTCTCCGTCCTCCCACCTGCAGAGGCGCCCGGCCGGCTGACCTTTGGGCTGTGAGTGGGCAGCTCTGAAGGGGAGGGAAAAGCCAGGACGTACCCGTGCCATCTCCCGCAGTCGCCGACCCGGAACCCAGCTGCAAAGCTGCATCACCTTCTGCAAAGAAGCACAGGACAGAACGGCTCCGGTGACACAGTCCAGGATACTTCCTCAGATCGGAGTGGCAGCTCAGGAGCGCCGGGCAAAGACGGGATTACTCCACGGCACTCCTCTCTCCCCTCCGCTCAGGAGCTTGGTGCAAAGAGTTACCGTGTGCCTGCAGTGGCACCACGCTGGGACAAAATGAACCACGCGTGGAGCCGCTGGGAGAAAGGACTCCCTGGAGCTCGCACCAGCTCTGAAGTCAGCGCCAAGAAGCCCACTGGCTTGGCAGCTGGCACCGGGAGGGAGCAGCTCAGGCTCCCAGGGGCCGGCAAAGAGCTTCGCAAGGGAAAGCGCCCTGGGGCACGGCACTCAGCCCGACCCTTTCCCTCTCTGCTCTTCTGCACGTCTGCGCGTCGGCCGCAGAACGAGCAACTTGCATTTCACACGGAAAGAAAAAATTAAAAGGTAGATGCTCTTTGCTGCCTCTGAATTACCCGTGAGGTTGCTCTCAGGCTGGAGGACAGGAATACTAGACAAAGACATTGGGAGGCCGTGGACAGCTGAGGGGGTCTTCAGGAAATCTGCACGTGAATAAACTCTTGCCAAGTTGTCAGTGTTTACTCTTTCAACAAAATGGACGTTGAGAACTTACCTCCAGGATGGCCCAAAGATTCCCAACCAACATTGAGGTGAGAAGCCTCATAACCATTGCCAGCAGCCTCATCTAGGAGCAGACACAGATGTGAAACATTTCCATTGCATGTTGGGATCCCCGCCTGCCTTAGGGAACTGCAGGCACTGGAAAGGGGCCCCTCGTAACGACAGGGGGGCCCGACAGCGTTGGAGGCTGTCAAAGCTGCAGAGGGGCCTGCTGACCTCTTGGGTGGTGCGTGGCACCTCTCCAAACAACATTATGAGGTTCTTCGGGAAAGCTGCATGTGAATAAGCAGACGCTGTGAAAAGAGGTTGCAACAGAACTTCAAACGCTTCTTTTGACATGGCAGGATTCACATGGAAATGGTGGATAAATGTGAACACCCCAATTGCGAGCAAACCTTCAGCTGTCACTTTTACACTAGTGTCTCGACTCTTAGACGAGGAACAGATTTAGACTCTCGCGTTCCTATCTGTCCTGAAGAAACAGAGAGGAAGGCGAGCAGCACTACTGGGCGCTATTTTGCAAGACCAAAGACTCTTCCTAGGATAGTACATGTCAAGTCACATAGTTTCAATGTCCCTTGATCTGCTTTTAAAATAATCAGCGCTATCGAAAACAGCCTGCTAAGCCACAGCTACGCACAGTCCAGTAAAAGAGATGGGCTGGCATTTCTTTTCAAACACAAGATGCGAGTTGGGCAGAAAGTCATAAAACAATTCACTTTCCAAAGAAAAAACTGTCACGTCAACAACTGGCTGGTGCCTGACTGGACATACCGTGGAACAATTGTTCTCTAAGCCACAACCAAAGCCACCTCCCAATTACGGGTATAACGAGCAACAGCCACCCCTGAACCAGCGCGCATCTGGCAAAGTCTCAGGCGCAAAAGAACACCGACACTCAGGAAGTATCTCCTGCTTCGAAAACAAAGGTGCCGTCCACAGAATGCTTCATTTGGGGAAAACGCTTCTGGATCCCTCCTCATTTATCTGACGGATGGGATGGTCCGCCTCATGACAGCACTCTGCTCCTCCCGCAAATCCAGCCCTCCAGCAACCCTCCTCACTGCCGGCAGCACCACCTGTAACTTACTAAAAATCGGTCCCTGAATTTACCTCTTTCCACCTTCCTGAACAGGACTCCGGAAAAATAACATTTAATAACTGCTACTTCTCGGAAGCCCTCTCTGCGTGCTAGCGAGATTTATTACGGTACCCAAGCAAAATACAGTGGCAAGGTGGTGTTTTGCTGCTGCACGTGCTGCTGGCACAGCTGTCTCTCTGGGTATTCAGACCCCATCTTGTGACCCACAGTGGGAGTGCAGGGGCTAACAAAGCGCTTCTCGGTTGTACCTGGCGGACACCCGGCAAAAGGTGCTCACCCCAACATGGGCTGTGCTGTAGCGTCTGTATTCGTCAGGAACAGAGTCCATTTACACCTGGAAGTAAAAAGGAATTTAGCAGCCTGGCCAAATTTATTTCACAACGTTTTACCTGTACAAGGATGAAAACTGCATTGGGCTTCACCTTTCAGCTGTTCAGGCATCACGATTTCGTTTGTTCGACGTGCAAAACCTCTGTCTTGTCCAGACAGGAGTCGGGGCACCGTCTCATCTGTTCGTTGCTCTGATCGCCGAAACCAAGGCGCCGTGTTCCCTTCCCACATTTGAGATAAAAAACGTTAGTTGTGAAGTATTAAGACAGGACACCACACACCTAAGAACTTCAGCATTCAAACTCCCTGAACTTTTACACAACTGTTAAGAACTCAAAGACGTCTCCTTATTTCTAACATTTCTCCGAACAAGAAAACAGAAACTCTTCCTTGCAAACAAAGACTGACGACTCTGTGCATTCCCACATTTTCAAGGTATCTCTAGCCCAGTGACCTTGTGAGAATTAAGAGGCACAGAAAACAGACCTGTGTTTCAAGTTTGCTTCGAAACACAGCACTTCCCTCCCTGAGCATCTACTAGTCCCGAGGACTCCGGTATTGCAGACAGACCAGCAAGCTGAAGGACCACCTCTCCTCCTCTGAAAGACCTTGATGCGCCCTACAGGCCCTGGGCGTCCCCCAGAACATTCAAAAAATCCCACCAGGAATATCACCAGGTCACCGAGGTATACCAAAGCGGCTTCACACGGACAAGAAGCTTTAACAAACTTTAGTTTGCAACCAAATCCAAACAGCCGAAGCCAGTGAGATGACGGGGACAGGGCAGCCAAAACAACGCCCCCATAACAGTTAACTAAGTTCCACGTACCAGCTGGGGACGCTGCTGCTGCACAGCAACACGGAAGAACGACAACGACGGCACGTGAACAGTGATGATACCAAGGTGCGCACCCACTCTCCGAAGGGGAAACCTGCCCCTCAGAGGTGCCCGAAGGGGGCAAGCGCTCACTCAAGCTCACCCCGAGGCACCATTCACTCACCGAGGGGGGCGGGGGGCTGAGGGCACTCAATCCCACCAAGCTCCCTTCGGGGTTGTCCCCGTCCCAAGGGGAGGGCTTCCGAACACTCGCCCGCTGAGCCCTCTGAGGGGAGCTCCCGCGGGGGGCTGCCTCTTCGAGCCCGGCAGGAGCTGAACTCCGGCCCTAGGCGGCCAGCGCTCCTGCACCTCCTCTCGCCCCATGAGGCGTTTCGTTGGCTGAGGGCCTTGTCTGTGGAGCAGCGGTCCCGCCCCCCTCTTCCCGCCACGGCAGGGGCAGAGCCGCGCGCGCTGCTCTGCACCCGGCCCGGGTGCGTCCGTGACAGCAGCCGCGGTGTGCTGCCAGAGGCGCGAAAACGAGGGCGCGGGAGAGCCCGCGCCGCCCTGCGGGAAGCCCTAGCCCCTGCCACGCACCAGACGAGGGATTTCGGTCGAGTAACACCACGCTAACGGAGCGCCTTCCGAGGCGAGACGGCTTCTCGAGCAGAACAGGAGAGGACCCGTCGACTGCGGAGGCTGAGGGGCGACCGCCGGGGCCGCCATCTGGCGACTGCGCCCGAGGCCACCTCGGCAGAAATGGCGGAGGGAGCGGAGACTTTTTCCCCGCTGTCCAGTGAGGGGAGAGCGTCCCAGGTGGAGGCGGTGCCGCACGGCCCCAAACCCAATGGGCGTGAGAGGCGGTGGATGATAGACGGGTGGCCACCTCTGTGGAAAGCCCCGTTAACAAGCGGTTCCGTTAAAAGCGGGCCTAGGAATGCTGCGGAGCGGTGCCTAATCACGAGAGCGCTGGCGTTGCGAGCGCTGGCTGCTCCCCACCGTGTGGGGAAGGCTGGGGGCCGGCTGGAGCCTCAGCCCTTGGCTGTGGTAGGCAGCGAACGCCTTCGTCTTTACTGCTGCTGCTGCTGCTGCTCGGGGAAAGTTAGGCAGCTCCACAGCTGCAGTGTCATCATCTTCTTCACACTTCCCCGAATACAAGCGCGTGGTGACTGGAAAAATAGCACTTGGAACTTGGCTTTTAACAAGGGAAGTTTAAAGACTTCCTGTAGACTACCACAGCTTGCTAACTGTGTAAAGATTTTCATCTTTACAGGCCAAAAGAGTTGATAAACTTCAGACACAAAGCAATCTTCTGCTTACAGTAACTTTATTGTGTGCCTGGGGGGAGTGAGGGGAACGCCCCCCCAGCCCATGGGGGCTGTGCACGCCAGTCAGAGGAGCCCCCCGTGCCTGGCTCCTGCCTGCCTCCACCGCGAGTGGACACAGTGGGCATATCCACAGCCGCGGCTGGGCGTGGAGATGAGCCAGCGCTTGGTGCCTCATGGGGTTTGCTATTAGGGCCACATGGACGCTTGTGCGCCGACTCTGACCCTCTTCATGGGGGGGTGAAAGGGCTGCCCCCCGAAGCTGTGGGTGGGGGACTCTGTCTTCCCATCCTCAACCCCTACCCTGGCAGGGCCGCGTTCAGCCCTTGTCAGAGGGCTGGACCCATGGCCTCGGGGGACGGGGAGGACGTTTGGGTTGGAGTTTGGTGGAGCTGGGCCCATTTTGAGGCACTGAGGCGGCCAGTGTTGGGCTGGGGGCAGGAGGGGTTGGCGGCGGTGGCGGTGGTGGTGGCAGTGTATCCCGTCTGGAGGGTGGACGTGCCGGTGTTTCAGGCGGGGGCTGCAGCTGCTGTTGTTGGTCCCAGCTGTCAGGGATGCCGGGGTGGCTGGTGGGGCTGACCGGGCGCAAGGGGTACCCGCCGGTTTCCAGCCGGTGTCCCCAAGGTGCAGGGGCATGTCTGTGGAGAGAGGAAGCCGCTGAGGCACTCGGCTGCAGGAGGGACACAGGGACTCCTTTCCAGAGCAAGGCCCACGAGCAGCCATGCAAGGGAGCAGTGGGGGGGAAAATCATCGACTTACTCTTTGCTCTTCCTCCGCTGCCGGACGAAGACGTAGCACAGCAGCAGTGCAAGTGGTAGGAAAATCACGATTACCACTGTGCCAATCATGCAGCCCTTCCGCACATCTTGGGGACAGAGAACACTTGCGATGTTCTGGGGACGGGACACAGTGGGGCTTGTCTCGCCGACCGCACCTGGAGATGCAATTGGGGATGTTAGTCTGTCCAATGCACCACTGTAAGCTTGCAGCACGTCTCATATGTCCAGGAAAGTCTCTGTTTCCCACCAGTGCTGGTGCCCGGAGGCACCCTCCCACCCTTTGGGACAGGTTGTCCCCCCAAACAAAACTGAGGCATTCAGAAGGAGCACATGGTGGGGAGCGCATCTGCTCGAGCAGTCGCTGCTTCGAGGGACACAGACAGAAGAAACCGTCCCTGCAGCAGGCAGTGCCACCCCCAACTCTCCCTGCCCACGGGCAGCTCCCACATCACCAGGGGATGGAGTCAGGACTTCTCAAGAGACACCTGAGCCTCCCTCCCCACTTCTGCCTTTTCCCCAGCATGGGCACCGCCTGCAGCTGCTCCCAGAGTTCTGGACTTATCTCCCACTGAAGGACCCCAGGCTCAGTACCTGAGTTTGTTGGAGGAAATTCATGCACTTTGCCACGTTGATATTCCCCAAGCCTTGACAGCACTGCCAAAAAGCAGAGAGGAGAGGTAAAGCCTCCGCATGGCTCAGGCACAGAGGATGCAGGAGGACGGGGAGGTTCCCTCCAAGCCCCTGCCCAGCTGGGGAGTCAGGGCATCTCTCTGGACCTCGGCTCACGGGAGGGATCCCACTCTGTGCTGCTCTTGGGCCTCAAGGGACTCATGGCAAGCTCTGGGATGCAGCTACAGCGGGAGGTGCGTTGGATTAAGAGTTACATTCCCCATCATCTGCGGAACGTGGCCCAGGTGCCGCGAGCCCACAGCACTTTCCCCTTTGGATGCTGACGTGACGTGCAAGAGCGGGACTGGGGGAAGAGCCTGCTGACGCACAGCGATCCCGATGGGTGCCAGCGGCTGACCACGGCACAGCAATTACCTGGCATGCCGGGGGCTTGCATCGCCTCTCTTGCTGAGGCAGAGGCGGGCAGTGAGACACTGCTTCCTCCTGGAAACGCCGACTACGTCGTGAGAACAGAGTCACGGGGCTCACAGCCAAGGATGGGCAATGGCAGTGCGCAGTGCTGACCTGGTGGGATCCCCTTTGCCTGTCCAAGCAGAGAGAAAAGGAGTGGGATAGGTAAGAGTGTAGCAAAGGGAAACAGGAAATGCCAGGATGGTGGTAAGGAATATCCCACACCCCGCACATATTAGAAACGGAGATCATTGCAATGATCTGTGGGCATTGACTTTAGCAGCAACCAGAAGAAAACTGTCATCTAGTAAGAACCATAGAAAATCTCACAATTGCAAAGATTATTTTTGATGGAAATGGTGAAAATATTTCCTCTTCCCTGCAGAAGTGGTTTGGCCAAGGTTTCGGTTCTCCATTTAGATGAGAGTGGATGGGACTTCTTACTGGATGCTGATGAAATACTTTCCGTTCTAACTGGAATCGAAGATATTACAACAAATTGCACAAAACTGTAGCTCAGCAAAAGTAGACAGTTTGTGTTTAAGTGTGTTTAAAGAATTAAATATAAGGAACTGATGTAAAGGGAGAGTGAAGAAATAACATGGTTTTATTTCTCCTGCCATGGAAGAGCTCTGTAAACAGATGACTTTCTAATCCAGCAGAGAAACACAAAAGAAGATCAAAGGGGGGTAGAGGGGGAGGAAACACAGGAGATCAGAAACCCCATCTTTGCAAATAACAAATCTGAAAAACAAAAGAAAGCAAAAGCCCATTAGTTAGGAAAAGGAGCAAGTAGTCAAAGATGCCACCTCTTTTTGGCTTCCCTTTGCATAAACAAAACAAGAGGCTATGGTCAAGTGCTCAACACAATCAAAATTTAGTGCACACAGATGAGAAAAGGGAAAAGAGAACAAATAAGTAAGGTAGAGGTAGATAAGGCAGGTGTAGTCAAACACAAAGGCCCCAAAGGTTCCACTAACCTCCTCCACAGCCAGGCTGTGGCCATCTCTGAATCACTGGTGATTAACAGGACCAACTCACATGGAGTGGGAGAGGTACCAGAAAGCCAGTGATGAGCAAACAGGGCACTAGTCTTGCACTAGCAGATGCTTTTGACACTGACTTGCATGTGTCTCCCTAAGAAAATGAGGGAATTAAAGTCTAAAAAACATATTACCTCCAGGTGCTGTAAGCACAGTTAAAAGAGCAGAGGGGCCATCATTACTGACCTGGGGGGCAGGCAGCTGGAAAGGCAGATTGGGACAAGTTGGGCATGGTGATATGTGAAGAGATGCACTGAGAGAGCAACCAGAAACAGCAGGGACGGTGTGCAGCCAGAGCAGAGCCCCAGCTTTGCTCAGTACTGGGGCGACTGCTGCTGGTGAGGAACTTGCCCCTTAGGGCCTCATGTTTCAAGAAATGTGTGATAGGAGAAGAGTCAGAAGAGAGCAGCAAGGAAGTCCCATGTCCAGGCAGACAATGTCACGAGTTTCATTTAGACTAGAAGAGGAGACGAGGGAGGATCTCAGTCACTGGAAGAGGACAGCATCACTTCTGGTCCTCAAGCCTGCTAAGGAAAGCTGGGACAGAACTGCAACTGCCTCAGTCTGCAGCTGACTTTAGGAAAGCCTCCCCAGCTCTGCTGAGAGTTTACCCTGAGGACAGATCCCTGCTAGCTGGCAGAAGCAGGCTGTGTTTGTGACCCTGAGTCACAGAGGAGCCATGCTCTCTGCACCTCTTTCAAGAGTGGCTGCCAGGACACATGGGACCCTGTGCTTCGCAGCACTAAAGGGATCACAGCAGCCCTTCTGCCTCCACCATGCAGCAGGGTAAGACAGAAGGAAACCACAGGCAGAAAGAAATTAAAGAAACTGCCAACACCACGATCCCATGCAAGTGTAGAGAAAACCACATGGCATTATGCAACATCTGTCCGGGAAGTGACACTCATCATTGATAAAAATTATGCAGAGGAGTCCCGTGACTAAAGGTTACAAGGAAAACACAGATCAGCCGTCAGTCTCACTTTGCAGTGAGCTGTCACTGAC